TCGTAGCCTGCTTTCCGCAGGCGGCGAGCAATGGTAGCTGTTCGCCAGACCAGAACCAGACTCGAGCGATGCTCAAAGAGCCGTCAAGACCTAAAAAGAGGCCCGCTAGGGCCGATGCCTAGATGAGGTTGTGGGTGTAAGCGCAATGATCTACCGCAACCCGGCTCAGATCAGGAGAAAAACTGGGTAGTTTTTCGCCAGTAACAGTACGAAAAATACTCAATGGTCATATAATGGCTAGGTTACTTAGGGCTTATGTCATTAAGAGATCATCGTCGTACGATTAATCGAGCAACCACAGCAACGTCGTGTATAGCAGATAAGTACTCCACAGGGACGCCAGAATAAATTCTTGGTAACACAATCGAATTTAATTAAGTAAGTAGAAAATATATTCTCTTTTCATGTAAGTATTTTACATTTATCGATAAACACCATTAGCACTAAATAAACAATAAAACAAAAAAATACTTCTCACAGTTACACTATCTGATTATTTCATATTTTTACTGTCTACTATTATTATTAAATTATTTTGTTGTTACTTGTTACATCATTAATTCATTTATTAATGGAAGATCTTGGACTGTATTACGTCACACACTTGATAATAAAATCGCTACCGGTTACGTTTTAATTGCCTACACAGACAGTCTTGTACTGAATCAAGTTTATTAATTGCTTGTAAACATAAGACTCGACACAAATAACTTCTCCCATCCTGGGTAGGGGGCAAATGAATGGTGGAGGGCAGACTCAAAAAGGACGTCCTTCTCCTGCTCCAAGTCAGGTCTGGGAACATTATAGCACTTGCACCCATACCCAGAACCGACCAAGCCGAGGACAAGGCTGATGTCTCATTTTGAGAACAAAAAGTACATTTTTAATATTTACTATTCTTTTGGAAACGACATACCCAATTACCAATAAATAGATGTTGTCAATAGACGGTCAAAATCAAAAGTTGATGGAGCTACATTTAGATATTCAAACTAATATAAAATGATGTTCAGTCACATTTGACGAGTAGCGTTCTGTTATATTCACAATTAGTAGCGATTATTGCAAATGCATGCATTTTCGATTAGGTACTATAAAAATACTTGCAACCGCGTGGCGGCTTCAGTCTGCCGGTGCCGTCACATTGTCAATATCTTATCCTGACCAGTTTAAGACAATCCTTTACTCTAATCCTTGTAAAGTTCAAGTTCTTTCATTAAAGTGGTGTTAGCAGTATCAGTGTTTTTTTTTAAAAAAGACTAACACCAGCGCCTTCCAAACAGTTCAGTCAATTTTGAACTTCAATGATGTCCATCCAATACTGGTCCTATCTTGTTACGTGACTTGTGGGGTATACAGTGTACAGTAGTTTTGTAAATCAAAATATGTTCATCGACTTTTGATACTGACTGTACCTACGTAGTTACAACTAGTTTCCTAATTTTCTTATTGATATACTTTCACTGGGCAAATCAATCCATATTAAATTTTAATCACTTACAGATGAGAAAATCACAATTAAAGAATAGCTAAAGACGTGACAAACCCGTAACGTTCCCATGCTATTTTACACTGAACAACAATATTTACTAATAGGGAACATTGCTAGCAATTTAAAAACAATTTTGACGCTTATTGCGATACAATTAAGGTACACTTAGAAAGTAGCCACGCGGTTTTAGCCAAAAATATACTTCAGAAACTTTCCCCTTCACTCAAGTAATGTTGTTCTTATGTCTGCGATCAAAATATGAATGTAAGAGATTTTACAAACATAATAAGACCCCAACACACGCTATTACATTACGATTCGCATGAAATCAGCATTCATCATGATAACTTTGATATGTTCGAGTGAAGTCGAATTGTGGACCAAAGGGTTCTGTATCAATATTTCGTATGATAAACCACTGTTTTTCGACGTGTGGATCTCGATATGTTTTTAAGCGTCGCAACGCTTCAAAGTAGAAAAAAAAGTTAAAATTTTACTACAAAAATATTCAACTAAAGAACGTAATCAAACGTCTGTACCAAATAAACAAAAAAGTTTAAGTGTGGAAGAGCCATGCTTCGGCACGAATGGGTCGGCTCGACCGGAGTGATACCACGGCCTCACAGAAAACCGGCGTGAAATAACCACTGCGTTGTGTTTCGCCGTGTGAGTGAGGTTACCGGGAGGCCTAATCCTTCCCCTCCCCCAATCCCTCTTCAATCCCTAAATTTCCAAATCTCTAATCCCTAAAAGGTCGGCAACGCACTCGTAACTCCTCCATTGCGAGTGTTCATGGGCGGCGCTGATTGCTTACCATCAGGTAATGCGTATGCTCGTATGCCGAACTATTACATAAAAAATGACATATGCGACCTCCTCTATGTTAAATTTTAGACGTGTCGGCGACGCATTCGGTTATATGTATTTTACATAAGTACCTTATTTCGTACATATCACAATACGGACTGGATACTAGAGCGATCCCGAAATGTTACAAAAAAGGTCGTGCAACGAACAGATTGAAGATTACTTGTTCTTATTTTTTCATTTGTTACACTTTAGAACGATCTAGGGGTCTTTGTGAGGTTAGGACAAACATATATGCGTTATGAGCTTGAACTCCACGTGAGTTCTAGAACGGTAAAACAATATGGCTTTATTTAAATAGTTTGTTTTAAAATATAATGTTATGGTTGAACTTTTACAATCTTACTTCAATACATTATTATATTCATATTGATATAACATAGAAACTTAATTGTTGAAAAGAAATTATACGTACCTACGTATATTTAAAAAAAAATATTAATGTACCTTGACAGTTAGTTACTATAAGTACTCACCAACTTCTTTTGTAAATATGAAATATCAGCACAGTATATATTTCCCTCGTAAGCAGAACCCAAAAAAAACTAAAATAATCAACAATCTTGGACTCATAACGCGATTAACATTACATAACACACTCATTAACTTAAACAATGTCGATTTTTAATACAGTAGTAAAACAAAGCAAGATAATAATTAATAAACATTGTACAATAAGAAAAAAACTCGTGAAAGATAACACATTAATTAAATAAAGTGATAATGCAGTACGGTAATGTAATTATGGCTTGTATTCTGTGTTATCTGTGGCACCAAAATGACAGATGTCAGTTAGAATATATTATGAGTATGACATACGCGAAAATGTATCCAAGGCCGATTATGTGGCCTAATCCTTCCCCTCCCCCAATCCCTCTTCAATCCCTAAATTTCCAAATCTCTAATCCCTAAAAGGTCGGCAACGCACTCGTAACTCCTCCATTGCGAGTGTTCATGGGCGGCGCTGATTGCTTACCATCAGGTAATGCGTATGCTCGTATGCCGAACTATTACATAAAAAATGACATATGCGACCTCCTCTATGTTAAATTTTAGACGTGTCGGCGACGCATTCGGTTATATGTATTTTACATAAGTACCTTATTTCGTACATATCACAATACGGACTGGATACTAGAGCGATCCCGAAATGTTACAAAAAAGGTCGTGCAACGAACAGATTGAAGATTACTTGTTCTTATTTTTTCATTTGTTACACTTTAGAACGATCTAGGGGTCTTTGTGAGGTTAGGACAAACATATATGCGTTATGAGCTTGAACTCCACGTGAGTTCTAGAACGGTAAAACAATATGGTTTTATTTAAATAGTTTGTTTTAAAATATAATGTTATGGTTGAACTTTTACAATCTTACTTCAATACATTATTATATTCATATTGATATAACATAGAAACTTAATTGTTGAAAAGAAATTATACGTACCTACGTATATTTAAAAAAAAATATTAATGTACCTTGACAGTTAGTTACTATAAGTACTCACCAACTTCTTTTGTAAATATGAAATATCAGCACAGTATATATTTCCCTCGTAAGCAGAACCCAAAAAAAACTAAAATAATCAACAATCTTGGACTCATAACGCGATTAACATTACATAACACACTCATTAACTTAAACAATGTCGATTTTTAATACAGTAGTAAAACAAAGCAAGATAATAATTAATAAACATTGTACAATAAGAAAAAAACTCGTGAAAGATAACACATTAATTAAATAAAGTGATAATGCAGTACGGTAATGTAATTATGGCTTGTATTCTGTGTTATCTGTGGCACCAAAATGACAGATGTCAGTTAGAATATATTATGAGTATGACATACGCGAAAATGTATCCAAGGCCGATTATGTGGATAACATATGTAGCCGCATTGGTTAGATAACCAGAATAGTTTATGGAATAGTCGTCGAATCGATAAATTGTGCTAGTTCTGTTTATTTTTGGGATAAAAAATATATGTCTACTGCGGTATAAGATATGAAAGAGACAACGATATATTTTGAGGCTGACTATTAAAGTGCCAATATCTGCTGTTTTAGATAAACAGATGAGAAGAACCTTTATACAAGAAAAAATGCTTATTTTTAGGTTTCTACTAAGTCAAAGTCTATTTTCTTTGGGCAATGTTTTATGTCCACTGATAGCGTAGCTATATCAAGTTTCTTATCTAGTGTTCCTTGTCTGATATCTGTTCAAATAAACATTATGAAGAATCGCTTTAAAGACACATCACGTTTACAATTGTTAGAAAACAGAACACGGTAGTAGATAATTTTGCACCGTTATTAGTCGTAATAAAGAATGACGTAGTGGCACGGAGGTTAAGACACTTCTCGTGAATGTGGTTTGAATCCTGACAAGTACCAATGTAACTTTTTCCGAGTATTATCTATTTTCTATGATTTTAGGCGACACTGTCATACGGTGAAGGAGAACATCGTGAGGAAACGTGCTGCAGCTTCAAATTATAAGTTTAAAATCGCTAATCCACCTTAAGCAAGCGTGGCAATTAATGCTTAATCCTTCTCCGTGTGAGAAAATACTTATGCTGAGCAGTGGGCACTTATAGGCTGTTTAGTCGCAATAACTTTTTTTTGCTTAGAAATATCACCAACCTGTGCATGTCTCAGCTGATTGACGAGTGTAGAGCACCTCTCCGGGTCCTTCCGGCCGTCAAACGAGTCCAATTCAGCCGCGACCATGTTGAGTGCGTCATCGGCGAAGAAGAACTGCGCTAAAAGCGACCGGTCGTCCCTCTGAAATAAAAGCAATAAGTATATAATATCCAGATTTGACAAGACTAGATAGTTCTTTGCCGAAGTTAGTTCTTTAGTTCTTTGCAATTCAAAGTCGAAGTCAAGTCATTTATTTTAATTAAACCATTATAGGCACTTTTCGACATCAAACAAACAATTTAAGATAAAAATATCAGGCTGTCGGAAAGTCTTCTTAAGTGAAGCAAAAGCTTTCAAACAAACGCACTTTTAGAAATAATTGCAAACGTTGCAAGAAACAAAAATGTTGAAGTTTCATTCATTTCTACAACCGCTTAACCCTTAATTCGACGTTGTGCAGTATACTTCACATTGAATAAAAAAAAAATTACTTTAAAAATTAGACCGTGTATCCAGAACCAACATACTATAATTGCATCCAGAACTATTTACCTACGTAGTCAAAAATCAACAACGCGTTCACATCGACGAAACGCGACCAGTCGCCGGCGAGATGGCGGGGAGGAAGGACTCGCTGCGCGGGCTTTCGGTAAGTTACGTTGTATTTATTTTTTAACGGTTTATTTTCTTATAATATCATTGAAAACTAAAGATAACATATATTGGAATCTACTCATAATATTTTGATTATGTTACTTAGTTTTATTTAGTATTTACAACGCCAACAACTTGTATGTCTAGTATACTTCCCGTCATCGAAGTACTAGTAAAGTAACTGCAAAATCGTATGTCCAGTATTCTTCCCTTCGTCAAATTAGTAGAAAACGAAATACAAAATCGTATGTCTAGTATTCTTCCCATTGCCGTGTTATTAGACACGTAAGCACTGTTGTATCTCGAAAATATATTTTTAGGGATCAGTAGATAAAATGTCTTACACCTTATTACTTTTTGTTTTTCAGAGCTTCAAGTCAAGAGGACATCGTTTAGTAGGATTGGTCCCACCTGAAAATGCACCATCAGATATAGACAGTAGGTCTGAACCTGAAAACGAAGAGGAAATCGCCGTTTATAGAACTGAAGAGTTATCCTCCACACCCTGCCCTTCCATTGATTCAGACATAGAACGCATGCATATCTTAGACAGCTCCCATACGTCAGAGGACCATATTAGCGTTAATGGCAGTGAGAACAATCCTGTGTCAGAATTTGAAGACAACTTGAACCAAGCGCAACTTCCGTTGACTCCTATTATTAACAACGTGCTACCACCGACTGGTGAAGTAAATTTTAATGCTTTACCAAGTTTGGCCTCATTACTTTCAATTCCATCATCAGCTGCTTCGTCCATTGCTAGTCCATCAATTCGAATCCGAACTCAGATACAGCAAAGTGGCTGACGTTATGCCATTGAAACGATTCGAGCAGATTCGACGCAACTTGCACTTTGTGGACAACGTCAACTTAGATGAGGACAGATATTACAAGATACGACCCTTCATTGAAAAAATAAGAAGAAACTGCCTTGCAACGGAAGAAGAAATGAATTACAGCATAGATGAGATGACTATACCATATAAAGGTACTAAAGCAGGAAATCGGAGACAGTATAACCCCATGAAACCTGATAAATGGGGTTTCAAGAACGTAGTACGCGCTGGTGCGTCTGGAATCGTCTATGACTTTTTATTGTACAGCGGCGATGACACTTTTCGCTATATCGCTTTTACCGATGAGGAAGAGCAAATGACATTGGGTGCTAAAATGGTGTTAGCCCTTAGTAAAACAATTCAAACTCCAGAATGTGCTGTTTATTTCGATAATTATTTCACAACGCTCGACCTGATTTGGTATCTACGTGAACACAGGGGGATTTTCAGTCTCGGAACTATACGGCAAAACAGACTGAAAGGTTGCAAGGGTCTCCTAAGTGACAAAGAACTGAAAAAAAGAGGCAGAGGTTCATTTAGCCAAGTCGTAGACAACGACAAAAAGATCGCCATTGTAAAATGGTACGACAATAAAGTTGTGACTTTGGCCTGTTCTTATGCAGATGCTTACCCAGTTCATGAAATCAAAAAATTGGAGTAAAGAACAGAAACAGAAAATTGGTGTCACATGTCCGCAGTTAGTACGACACTACAATCAACATATGGGAGGTGTTGACCTGTGCGATATGTTGATAGCTTTGTACAGAACATCTTTTAAAAGCCGTCGTTGGTACATGAACATCTTTGGCCAAATGTTAGATATAGCGGTTAACAATGCCTGGCTACTCTACAGGCGAAATTGTAATATGAAAAGCCTGAAAAACATAAGTCTAAAAAAGTTTAGACAGAAGTTGGCAGTCGAATTGAGGCAAATGGGAAGATCAAATGAAACAGACGCACCAAGCCCTGTACCGAAGAAAACACTAATTCAAAACCCAAGTGCACCGAGGCCCCCAGAGTCTGTGCGTTATGATGGCATCAACCACTGGCCTGAATATACGACATATGGGTGTTGGAAGTTTTGTAAGAACAACAAAACGAACATGCATTGTTCTAAATGCAAGCAGAAATTGTGCCTAGTGACCAAAAGAAATTGCTTTTATAATTTCCACAAAAAGTAGGTGGGTAGACGAGTGCCCAAACATTTATCTCGACTGATATTTTTTATACTTTAAGAACTAGAAGACTGATTATTTTTGAATAAGATAATTGTTAATTATTATAAGAAGAATTTTAAAGACATTTTATTTTATGTTCAAAACATATGTGATTTTTTTCGTTTCTATAAGGTTTCAGAGTTCCTATTAATGTTTTAATCATAAGACATGTAACAATAAGACTATTTTTTTTAAATATAACGAATATTTTCCTACTGAATCACTATTTTTTTTTATTCTATCTCTTTGATAATGGGAAGTATACTGCACACAGTTAGAGTATATCTGTTTCTTATGAACTTGATGATGTCCATTATAGTGGACGTCGATTTTTCAGGAAACTGAAGTCGGTAAATTTTTTCAGATATTTTTTCTACGCACCCGTACAAGCTAAGAAACAAAATTTGTAACAATTTCATTAATTTAATAAAAAAAAAATCTGTCGAATTAAGGGTTAACTAACCGACAGCAGCTGGATACAATAGAAGACTAAATATCACCTACAATCTTCATTATTGAAGGAAACCTTAGGACAACTTAACATACCTAATTAAAAGTAGGTCTACCTTACGTACTTACCTACCTATTGCAGATCATATCGAGCAAGGGTTCTATAAAAAAACATCATTACATAACAACCACGAAAAAAATAACGTATCACATATTAACAATAGACTCATAAATAATCCACGGTTCGCATCACATCATTAAAGCTTCGTTCATGTAAATAAACATAATACCGAATAACTAAGTTCAATGTATTGACAACTACAACAATGTGGAGTTATAAATGAATGAGCTGACAGGTAAATTACGGTGTTAGGAACCAGGTGTTTATGTTGGACTGACATTGTTGTTTAATTTACAAGTCATGGTGGTTGTTAAATAGCTTAAAATAAACTTGGATAAAGGGCAACCTTTTTTAAAACTGAATAACTAGTCGCTGCGTCACGCTCGCATATGTCGTTTCTTAGTTTAAAAAACACTGAAGTAGGTAGTTTCTTTAGTGTCAAACTGTCTTTGTCAAATAGTAATGTAGCATAAGGGAAGTCGCGTTAAAACGGCTCAATCGATACGTTGAAAATTATGAAGTAGGTAGAGAAAATACTTTTGGAGCACTAAAACCAACATAAGAACGAATGTTGAGTACATTCGACGTTATGGCTAATGAGTACAAAGACCTTAGAATAAGGCCGTAATAAAATAAATAAACATAACCCCACTATTTTGGGCTCGATTCACGATAAAGGTGAAAATGTAAAATAACATAATTTACATGAAAACCAGTAATAATAAAAACTTCAAAACGAGGTCAGGCCTTCGGCAGGACAAACCTAGGACATTAATTTGCACTTCAGTGCAAAATTTTAATACTTTTGGCGTTTTCTGACTTTACTGTGTCGCAGAGGTGGCGCCACTAGCGTATTTAGTCCTTTAAGAGTACCAGTAGGTGCCTTGACACGGACCAATATCCTTTATTGACCATCTTAAGTTACATTGACGCACGTAATCGCGTTCGTGGATACTAATAGACTTGTATTGAATATTTAAAAGCGAAAGTCTGTTCATGTGTCTTGTCTTAGTAAACTACTGAACCCTTTGTCAAAAATTGGCATGGGGATGTGTAGACATGAGATATTAGGTATGTAAAACATTACTTATGCATTTTTATTACGAATTTAGAATTAATTTCATCTGAGGTCTCGTTGTAAATATTCATTTGTGTCAAAGGTCATAAAATACATATTGCATTCACACAGTTTAAAACATGCCATGTTATGGACGAAGTTAAATTTCAACTGCATGTGAAGAAAGCCGCCAGGTTGCGGGTCAAGAACAGTGACATACCGCGGCCCGGCTCGGGACAGGAGACGAAACGGTGTTATTGTAATCAGTAAGCGTCTGACACTAATTTTCGACTCACCCGTGGCGGAAGGACCCACTCAACAAATTCCAACCATCAAAAAAAGGAAAAATTGCTTAAAAATCTAAGATTATTTGTTATTTATTTATAAATAAAAGTCAATATTTTAATTGGTGGCTACTTAATGATGTTACCGCGTAACTTAGCAGAACAATTATGTCATAAATTCATAATTATGAGACCATTTTATTAATTAAGCTGTTGTTGCATAGCGTGAGTAAATTACGTGTTTCAGTCGAGTCAGTTACTCAACCGCTTCTTTTTACAAAACCTAGTCTTTGAATGAAATGAAATTGATAAAAAGAAGATAATATTAAAATTAAATGAGTATGAATTAACTTCAAGGGAATTATTTAATAATCTAATCTTAAATACACAATGAGGATATTAAACTTACTATATTATAAAAAAGCCTGGCCCCAAATTATGGTGCGAGTAAACACATTAAGCTTTTCAAATCCAGTTTAAACTGACCGACAAATGTGTAGAAAGATCATACAAAACCAGAGC